AGCAGCCCCTACTTGGTCCAGCCAACCATTGCCAAAACCGGACATAGGTCTGTAATTGTCAAGAGCCTCATTTTTCAAGACAAGCCAGAAATAAAAATTGTTCATGTAAAAACCGAATATCTTTAAAACTGAGAGGTTTTACATGAACAATTTTTATTTCTGGCTTGTCTTGAAAAAAAAAATGTATATATACAAGTGAGTTCATGACCAGAGCCAAAATTGGACGCTCTATCGACTGAGCCACCCAGGTGCCCCTACTCTGTATATATATATATATATATATATATATATATTTTTTTTTTTTTTTTTTTTTTTTTTTTTTATTTTTTTGAGAGAGAGAGAGAGAGCATGAGTGGTAGAGGGAGGGAGAGACAGTCAAGCAGGCTCCATGCCCAGCATGGATCCCAATGCAGGGCTCGATCTCTGATCTCATGATCTGAGATCATGACCTGAGCCAAAATCAAGAGTCAGACACTTAACTGACTGAGCCAGCCAGGTGCCCCTAAAGGAAGAATATTTTTAAAATCTAAATGTTATTCATTTTTGAAGAGGCTGATGAGAGAAAAACTCTCGAAAGGCCTGATATACAAGGGAAACCATTTCAGATTTCTTTCTAAGGCAACATGACTATATATAAACTTTGTTCAAACCAAAAGATTTACGGCCCATCACACATGCATTGAACATCTGCTTTGTGAATGAGCAGCCTCAAGAAAGCCATCATGTCCTTGAGATATCGCTCAGTGCTCCTATTTCCTGCATTCATTTAGGATAAAACTCGTGATTCCTGCCTATATGCAAATCTATAGTCTTTTGGGCTTTTACAAGATGTAAAGAGTATATAGCCCTGTAAAATCTATTCATTCTCCAGAACATTTTCTTCCCTGTGAAGAGCGTGTTTCCCCAGGCAGCTGTCCTGACTTTGGTTCCAATGAAACTTTCTTTTTTACTTTTAGAGATTCTCAAAGCTTTGTTCATTTGCATCAACAGGTAGTTCATTCGTGGTGCTCAAAAATTTAGAAGGAAATGAGGTTTGTGGTGAAAGGTTTCCTCCCCTCCACACCCGTCACCTAGTTACCTGCATTAGAGACAAGCACAGTATCTTGCATCCTACCACAGACGTGCACACACAGAGGCAAATATTATTTTTCCTTTACCTACACAGATTATAACATACTTTTCACATTGTATGGGGCGCCTGGGTGGCTCAGTCAGTTAAGCGTCCAGCTTCGGCTCAGGTCATGATATCACAGCTCATGGGTTCAAGCCCCGTGTCGGGCTCTGTGCTGACAGCTAGCTCAGAGCCTGGAGGCTGTTTCAGACTCTGTGTCTTCCTCTCTCTGCCCCACCCCTGCTCATGCTCTGTCTCTCTCTGTCTCTCAACAATAAAAAAAAAAAAAAAGTCAAGCATAGAGGCCCTTCTCCTGCAACCTTTTGTCACCCACACAGATGTGTGTCTCTTCTACCAATGGTAAGGACACAGTTGGCCTCACCCTGCTCCCACCTCATGGTGCTCTACCCAGGGTACACGCTCAAGACATTTTGCAGAACTGGGTAATAAATGCCAATGAATTGTTCACAGAAAAGCTAAAAGGGTTCTCCTGTTTGGGAAGATAGTGTCACCATTGCTCTAAGAAACTCAGACATCTCTGTTCTTCCAACCCAACACATTCCTTCCCGGGCAGGCACTGGATGTAGTTTTAATATTTATTAGTATTATTTTTACTATTATTTTTAAATATTTATTTTTGAGAGAGAGAGAGAGTATGAGGGAGGAGCAGAGAGAGAGGAAGACACAGAATCTGAAGCAGGCTCCAGGCTATGAGCTGTCAGCACGGAGTCCGATGCAGGGCTTGAACTCATGAACCATGAGGTCAAGACATGAGCCGAAGTTGGATGCTTAACCAACTGAACCACCCAGGCGCCCTGATTTTTACTATCATTAACATTGGTTTGTTTGTTTGTTTGTTTGTTTGTTTGTCTTAAGTAATCTCTACACCCCATGTGGGGCTCAAACTCATGACCTGAGATCAAGAGTCACATGCTCTTCCACCTGAGCCTGCCAGGCGCCCCCTACTATCAGCATTGTTATTTAACTATCACTTATTGTCCAAATATCAACTCATTACTCTTTTTTTTTAAACTTTTTAATGTTTATTTTTGAGAGACAGAGAGAGAGAGAGAGACAAGGGAGGGGCAGAGAGAGAGGGAGACACAGAATCTGAAGCAGCTCCAGGCTCTGAGCTGTCAGCACAGAGCCCAAGGCAGGGCTCAGTCTGATGAACCGGGAGATCATGACCCGAGCCAAAGTTGAATCCTTCCTGACTGAGACACCCAGGCGTCCCTCATTACTTTCTTAGCTCATTACTCTTCACATCCACTATTATTGGCCCCATTTTATAGGTAAGGAAATGGAAGCACAAACCGGGTCAGTACTTTGCCGAAGCTGATTGCTTATATCTGATTATAGTTTTCAAAGTTCTTCACTTCCAGGAACTCGGCCTTCCTGGGAAGCAGGTGTGGGTTTCCATGGCCCAGTCCAAAGCCATAGGGCCTTTGGGGGGCAGGTGCAGAGCTACAACCCAGGTCTTCGGGATTGGCTCAGACACAGGAAGGCTTCTTGCACTGTGTACGGACTTGAAGTCCATGCTCCACGTGGGTCTTTCTGCTGGTGGGGGTTTGGGATCCATCCCTGCACAGGGAGCCTGGGCTAACTCAAGACTGAATTCACCCAGGGGATGCAGGGTTTCTGCAACGGAGAGGAAGAACCTGTGGACAAAAACTTTCATCCCACAATACGGGACTGCTTCCTGTCGCCATGTGTACCACCCGGGCCCGTTGCTCATGCTAGTTCCTCTCCTTGGTACACTTTCATCCCATGCTCTCACTCTAACTCCTCATACTTCGCAATTTACCTGCCTACTTCTCTCTTCCAGAAAACCCCTGCTCCTCTCAGAAGCTGGATCAAACGGCAGTCCTCCAGGCTCCCACAGCATCAGATGATTCCTTACATCTTTATGCTTTCTACTGTGTATTAAAAATATATGGGGGCTGCATTCTTTCCCTCTAAATAGACTGAGAGCCCCTCAAGGGCAGGAACCTCCCTTTTGGAAGATTTTACTTTTATTTATTCTATTAGAGAGAGAGAGAGAGAGAGCAGGGAAGATGCACAGAGGGAGAGAATCTTAAGCGGGCTCCACGCTCAACATGGAGAGCGACAAGAGGCTGGATCCCATGACCCTGGGATCCTCACCTGAGCTGAAATCAAGAGGGGGATGCTCAACTGACTGAGCCACCCAGGCCCCTCTTAAGATTTTGTGTCTAAGTAACCTCTATACCCAACATGGGGCTTGAACTCACAACCCCAGGATCAAGAGTCACATGCTTCAAGGGACAGATGCAGCCAGGCAGCCCAGGGACCTCACTTTCTCATCAGGGTGTCTCCTAAAGGCTGTGCCTGGTGCTCAGTAGTAAATGCTTATGAACAAAAATAAATGACCAGGGGTGGGTTCAAATGCCTTTGTTCTGCCATCTTTCAGACAGTTTCCTATTCATTTCTGGCACATAGAAGATGCCCGGTTAGTTTACTGAATTGAATTAAACATAATTAATCATTCTCCAAATACATCCCGCATCTGAGCTGAGAAGTTACTTGGTTCTAACAGATTTAGATCAAAACCATGTGGGGTACAGAGCCCAGAACTCAAACAAAATATGTGCTTAAGATACGCCTCTTTCCTTCCTCATTTGGAGTTTTGAAAAAAGTTGGTGGGAGGGGCGCCTGGGTGGCTTAGTCGGTTAAGCGTCCGGCTTTCGCTTAGGTCATGATCTCGCGGTTCGTGGGTTCGGGCCCCGCGTCGGGCTCTGTGCTGACTGCCAGCTCAGAGCCTGGAGCCTATTTCAGAGTCTGTGTCTCCCTCTCTCTCTGACCCTCCGCTGCTCACGCTGTCTCTCTCTCTCTCTCTCTCCTAGAAATAAAATAAAAATATTTAAAAAGAAAAAAAGTTGATGGGAGTGAGTACTCTGTGTTCGTTCCTCCCAAAGAGTCCAAATTTACCAGGAGATTCTTCCCCTGATGCTGCCCAGTGCTTGGGGGCTGCTGTTTCACGGTGGCTTCAGCCTCCGGCTAAGGAAGGGTCTCCCGCCCTGCACAGACGGGTGGAGACCCCAGGCTGAGAGAAGAAGCGCGTAGTAGGCCGGGTTGTCACGGACCCGGTGGCATTCTAAGGGAGGCCCGCTCCTGAAGTCCATCTTATGGCTCCCTCCACCCAACTGCTGCGCAAATCAGCACAGAGTAGGCCCTCACTAAACCTTAAACCTAATCAAGGGCCAAACGAAGCGTGCACGGTACCCGCCCAACGAGAGGACTGGGTGCACCAGCGCCCCCTCGCGGTGCTCCGCACCAAGCCGCCCCCTGGGAGAAGCGTCCCTGCGGTCCCACCAGCGAACGCTGGACACCACAAAGGACCCGAGCTGCCAGGGGAGGGGCCCCTGGAGGGGACGTCGTCTACGCCTCCACCACCCCCATTTTTAGAGACGGACACTGGGCCCCGGGCGGGAGTGTAGCTCGTCCAGGGGGGCCCGGGAATGCGCTCCAGCGGCTCAGGGCGGCGGTGTGACGGCGGAGGCCTCGGGCGACCTGCGGCCGGGCTGCGCCGGCACCTCAAGCAGCCCCTGCTGACTCACGGAGAGGGTGTCCTGGAGGCTGCCTGGAGGCGCCGGTGGGGGGGCCGGGGCACGCGCGGCCTCCCGCGGCGGAGCTACAGCTAGAACCCGGATGGGCGGACCAGCGCCGCGCCTCCGGGGGCTCGCCGCCGGGTGCATGGCGCCCCCCAGCGGGCACGGGGGGGCCGGGCCCGCCGCGCGCTCCCGGGCCCGCCGCGCCCCCGGCCGCGCGCGCGCGGGTCCCCGGAGCCCAGCCCTCCGCGCGGGCAGGCGGGATCCGGAGTCCTCTGCGCCGCGGGGGCGGGGCCGGGGCGGGGCCGGGGGCGGGGCCGGGCCGGGGGCGGGGCCGGGGTCGGTGCGCTCCGGCTCCGCTGGCCGGAGGCCGCTCTCCTGCAGAGCTCGGAAGCCCCCAACTCTTGGTCCCGAGATGTCAGCCAGCAAGCGGGTGGCGAAGGTAACGGAGGTCGGGCGACCCCTTTCTCACGGCTCCTCCTGCCCCCCGTGACCTGCTCTTCGCCTCCCTCCCCCGGCTCTCTGAGCACGGTTATTTGTCCCTGGCACTTTAGCCCGGTCCGAAGGAGGAGTGGGTCCTCCAGAGGGGCGGAAGCCGGAGTTGGGGGGGGTGGGGGGAGATGGGGGCATACGGGGCGGAGCTGTCCCTGGCGCCCTGGGCAGCGCTGGGGGTGGGGATGAGCTGGCCCCTCCCGAACTGGTTTCGGTTTCTTTTCTCCTACAAGAAACTTGTGACAATCGCTTGCTTGTCACTGAGATGCTGGAAAGGTTCCAGGAGCCGGGCGCTCTGCTGGGGTGGAGGTAGGGGGGCGAGGGACACAGATACGCGGAACAAGGTCTTTGCCTTGGAGTAGCTCGTGCCCCGCCCGTTAACTGGGTACCTACGTTTCTAGAGTCCCGACCAGTATGGGGTGTTGAGTAGGAATCTGGAACCAAGTTCCCTGGGTATTCTCGGGAGGAAAGGGTGCCAGGGCGGGGCTGGCAGGTGTCCTGGTGTGCACTCACTGCTTCTACAAATGTTGTCGAATGCCTGTTCCGCGCTGGCTCCTGTTCTAGAAAGCAGGGAGGCAGAGATGAGCAAAAATCCGCCCTCCCCTTGAGCTTTCTTTCCAGTCAGGGACACAATTTGAAATAAAGTCTGGAAGGATGGGAAGGGTCAAATTCCCCAGGAGGGGGGGAAAGTCCCGGGTGTTTGAAGGGGGTTGGCCAGGAGGAGGGCACAGGTGAGGAAGGAAGAGAGGTCAGGGGAAATGGGTCTGAGATGCCCCAGACTTTGACTCTCTTAGAAGTGCCTTTCCAGTATGTACAGTGGGAGTGGGCTTAAGGGGATGAGGAGGGCTGCCTTCTCCTCTCTGCCCTTGAGAGATAGAAGGTCTCAGATTGGGGCACAAAGCAGGCTCAATCCAGAACTGAAATCTGGAGGTCGGCAACAAAATGGGGCAAACGGTCTCTCTAGGCAAGTGGGAACCACTAAGTGCCCGGCCATTTACATGAATTCATTAGATTCTCACAGCAACCCTGTGAGATAAGTCATATGCCCCCATTTTACAGATGAGGAAGTGGAGGCTCAGAGAAAATAACTCGATTGTCCCGGGTCACCCAGTAGGGAGTGATGGCACTGGAATTGGCGTCCAGGCTGGTGGGGATCTAACCTGCAGGCCCTTCTAGTGACCTCTTTACTTTCATTTTCTGTTCCTCTGAGTCAGGTGATTTCCTAACAAGCCTCAAGAAAGAGCTGTGTGTCCTAAGTTGGGTTTCAACATCCTCAGGCTTGCAGAATCTTTTGGCAGAACTCTTCTATAACAGAAAAGGCCCAAGGGGCGCCTGGGTGGCGCGGTTGAGCATCTGACTTTGGCTCAGGTCATGATCTCACAGTTGAGAGTTCAAGCCCTGCGTCTGGCTCTGTGCTGACAGCTTCAGAACCTGGAGCTGCCTTCAGATTCTGTGTCTCCCTCTCCCTTGGCCCCTCCCCTCGCTTGTACTCTGTCTCACTCTCAAAAATAAATAAACCCTAAAAAAAATTTTTAATACAATAAATGAGGGGTCACAGACTCTGTGCAGAAGGCACAAGAAGCAGTTTGTTGATATGAATAGAGTAGAGGCTAAGAGATAGGAGATGGGGCCAGGGTTGTGCTTATATGTTGGGGGTGCAGAGAAAGCTCACATGGTCCACAGTATGAAAAGCCCCTCCCAGACTGTGGATTGGGTTTGAGCTTTTTCCACCTTTGTTTATACCACAGTTTCTCAGCCTTGTTACTGTTGACACCTGGGGCTGGATAATTCTTCATAGGATGTTTATCAGCATCTCTGGCCTCTTCCCAGGAGATGCTGGCGGCACTGCCCCAATTTGTGACAACCAGAAATGCTCTAGGCGTGCCCGGTGGCTCAGTCGGTTAAGTGTCTGACTCTTGGTCTCAGCTCAGGTCTTTTTCCTTTTTTTATTTATTTTTGAGAGAGCGAGAGAGCACATATGTGCATGAGCGGGGTAGGGGCAGGAGAGAGAGAGAGAGAGGAGAGTCCCAAGCAGGCTCTGCGATGCCAACACAGAGCCTGAACCGGGGCTCGATCCCACGAACCGTCACATCATGGCCCGAACCAAAATCAGGAATCAGATGCTTAACTGACTGAGCCACCCAGGTGCCCCCTCAGCTCAGGTCCTGATCTGAGTCATGAGTTCAAGCCCTGCATTGGGCTCTGCAATGGCTGTGAAGCCTACTTAAAAAAAAAAAAAAAAAAAAAAAAAGACCTAGGCATTGTCCAGTGTCCCCTGGGGGTGTGGTGTCAAACTGCCCCCAGCTGAAGTCCAATGGTTTATACCCATTTGCTGTTCCAGAGGAATATGACCTGCCCTTGAATGTCTTTTTATCTGTTATTGTTACTGGGGTTTTTTGTTTTTTTTTTAAAGTCTGTTGTCCTCCAGGATGGAACCCAAAAGAGGAGACAGTTTCCTTGGTCGATATACTCGAGAAGTACTGCATGCTGTGGGCTCACACCTTGGAGATTCCTGAGGCACAATAGCATATTAAAGGCTCTGGGAATTCCTGCAGTAAAGGAATCTGTTTAGCTCTGTGCTTTCCAGTGTGCTTGACCGTGGATCCCTTTTCCATCAATAACTATCAAGCTTGCGTGCGACATGTGTACACATTTGCTCTGACCTTGGTGCCTCTCCCCTTCTCTGCACAGCCTGGCTCAATGACCTCCTCTGCAAAACCTTCCCGCTCCCCTGGCCTCTTCCCTATTAGGCGTCCGTACACATTATTCACGTAGTCACATTCATGTTTCTGCTGTCACTCCAGCCAAGTTCTCGAGGGCTGGGCCTTTCTTACTCAGGTGTCAATAGGGGATGCTTTGTAAAGGGCTGGAGGGAGAGTCCACTGATGTCTGGGTAACCGGGCCACATCTCTGGGGGATGGGTGAGTCACTCTTGTCCCCTTGTTTCTCTGCGTGGTGTGTAGAGTTCTCTGCTACAGTCTGCCTGAATCATCTCCCTTCCCCGCCCCTGGTCTGGAGGATGTTGTCTCTTCTGTCCACTCTGCCCTGAGCCCCGTAAGGGCCTGTCATCATGCCGGATACGCAGTGCCCGCCCTGAGCAGAAGGGAGGGAGGGAGAGAATTAGGACCTTTCAGGAAGAGAGCAAGATGGGGGCGCCAGGTTGGCTCAGTCGGTTAAGCGTCCAACTTCGGCTCAGGTCATGATCTCATGGTTCGTGGGTTCGAGCCCTGCATCGGGCTCTGTGCTGACAGACAGCTCAGAGCCTGGGGCCTGTTTCAGATTCTGTATCTCCCTCTCTCTCTGACCCTCCCCTGCTCACACTGTGTCTCTCTCTCAGAAATGAATAATAATAATAAAAAAATTAAACTCTTTAAAAAAAAAAAGGGAAGAGAGCAAGATGACAGAGGTGCAGGTGGTATCTTCGTTTAGGAGGAAAGGCCCTGAAGAGGGTTTACTCCCAAGTGGTACCGTCCAGGGGCCCCTGGGTGGCTCAGTAGGTTAAGCGGCTGACTTCGGCTCAGGTCATGATCTTGCAGTCTGTGAGTTCGAGCCCCACGTCGGGCTCTGTGCTGACGGCTCAGAGCCTAGAGCCTGCTTTGGATTCTGTCTCCCTCTCTCTCTGTCCCTCCCCTGCTCGTGCTCTGTCTCTCTCTGTCCCAAAAATAAATAAACATTAAAAAATTAAAAAAAAAAAGTAGTACCGTTTGGAAGCAGCAATCTGTGTCTTCCCCGCCTAGTACCTACAGAGCTTGGTGAGGCTGAAGTCGAATAAGTCACTTAAAGCACGTAGTGCTGTGCCTGACACCTTCTTTTTTTTTTTGCTTTTTTTTTTTTTAACAAATAGTTTATTGTCAAGTTGGTTTCCATATAACACCCAGTGCTCATCCCCACAACTGCCCTCCTCCATTCCCATCTCCCCCCACACCCCACACCCATCAGTCCTTAGTTTGTTCTCAGCATTCAAGAGTCTCTCATGGTTTGCCTCTCTCCCTTTCCCCCACCATTTCCACCCTTCTTCTCCCCCTTGTTCCTCCGTCAAGTTCCTCCTAATCCTCCTATACGTGCAAACATGATATTTGTCCTTCTCTGCCTGACTTATTTCGCTCAGCATAACACCCTCAAGGTCCATCCATGTTGCTACATGTGGCCAGATTTCATTCTTTCTCATTTCCATGTAGTATTCCGTTGTATAGATGAACCACGTCTTCTTGATCCATTCGTCCGTTGATGAACACTTAGGCTCCTTCCCTGTTTTGGCTATTGTTGAGATTGTTGCTATGAACATTGGGGTCCATGTGCCCCTATGCATCAGCTCTCCTGTTTCCCTTGGGTAAATTCCTAGCAGTGCTATTTCTGGGTCCTAGGGGTGTTCTATTGTTAATTTTTTGAGGAACCTCCACACTGTTTTCCAGAGGGGCTGCACCAGTTTACATTCCCCCCAACAGTGTAGGAGGGTGCCCGTGTCTCCACATCCTCGCCAGCATCTAGAGTTCTCTGATTTGCTCATTTTACCACTCTGACTGGCGTGAGGTGGTATCTCAGTGTGGTTTTGATTTGTATTTCCCTGATGAGGAGGGTTGCTGAGCATCGTTTCATGTGTCTGTTGGCCATCTGGATGTCCTTTCTGGAGAAGTGTCTGTTCATGTCTTCTGCCCATTTCTTCACTGGGTTGTTTGTTTTTCGGGTGTGGAGTTTGGTGAGTTCTTTATAGATTTTGGATATTAATCCTTTATCTGATATGTGTGCCTGACACCTTCTAAGTGCTCAGTAGATGAGGGCCCTGACTTTGCCCGCTTCTATCCCTCAGGGTGTCCTTTTTGGAACTTGGGACAGCTGGCTGCTGGGATAGTGGGGAGAGGGGACTGAAGTAGGGGAGACCGGCCCACTGCTCACTGATGCTCCCCTGCAGGAGCTGGAGGACCTTCAGGCAAAGCTTCCCCCGTACCTACGGAACCTGTTCAGCCACGATGCCGACGTCCTGGTGTGGCACACGCTCCTCCTGCCCGTGAGTGTCCCTGGGGATCATGGCCTTCGCTTAGGGTGACAGGCCAGAGCCGTGGGCAGGGAGGCCGAGGACTGGGTGAGAATTTTCCCTGCCGTGGAGTCCTTTTTTTAACTGGAGGTCAGTCATTGGTAAAGGAGGTCTCTGGGTTGATTACTTCTGAGGTCAGAGCAGACTGATGAGGAGGCTAAAAGATTTTTGGACCTAGTAGGAGAGCCCTTCCTCAAACCAGGGGTCACCAAGCCCACCAAGAAGCTTCAGCAGACAAATGGCATCACAAGAAGAAAAAAGATCACCTGGACCTTTGTCAGGGGCTAGGGATAAATTTCCTATTCACAGTTGGTAGAATTTGCCCCTTCGAACCCAAAATGTATTTTGTTTTCTTTTATTTATTTATTTTTTTAATGTTTATTTATTTTTGAGAGAGAGAGAGACAGTGAATGGGGGAGGAGTAGAGAGAGAGGGAGACAGAATCCAAAGCAGGCTCCAGACTCTGAGCTGTCAGCACAGAGCCTGACACGGCTTTCGAACTCATGAACTGTGAGATCATGACCTGAGCCGAAGGCAGATGCTCAACCGACTGAGCCACCAGGCGCCCCTTTTGTTTTCTTTTAAAGATTGTATTTCTGGGATGCCTGGGTGGCTCAGTCAGTTGAGCATCCAACCCTTGATTTCAGCGCAGGGTATGATCTCACAGTTCATGTGTTTGAGCCCCAGATTGGGTTCTTGGCTGACAGTGCGGAGCCTGCTTGGGATTCTCTATCTCTCCCTCTCTCTCTGCCCCTCCCCTGCTCACACTCTCTATCTCAAAATAAATTAATTTTTAAAAAGAAATGTTTTTTTAATTGGTAGTCTTTTTAAAAATTTTTGTTTAATATTTATTTATTTTTGAGAGAGAGAGAAAGAGAGAGAGAGAGAGACAGAACATGAGTGGGAGAGGAGCAGAGAGGGAGACGTAGAATCCTAAGCAGGCTCCAGGCTCTGAGCTGTCAGCATGGAGCCCGTCACGAGGCTCAAACTCCTGAACCACGAGATCATGACCTGACCCAAAGTCAAATGCTTAACTGACTGAGCCACCCAGGCATTCCCCCTCCAAAATAAATTTAAAGATCGTATTTCAGACAACTATTTTTTTTATATTAGCATAATTAATTAACCTACAGTTCTATATTAGTTCCAGGCGTCCAATATAGTGATCAGACAACAATTATTGCATATGGCAATGCAGATAACTCATCTCTACCATTCTAATTTGTCTGCGTTTATTAGCTTGCTCGCTCTCAGTAAAATCTCCCCCTGAAAATAATATTCTAGGGGACCAATCTGAGTGCAGGATTTCTATTTTATTATTAATAGACTGGAGATATTTTCTATGGGAAAGTCATCTATACCCCGTTAGTTAACATGGGCATAAAAATTAAAACAGTGAAAGTTTTGGTTAGCTCTTTGGAATATAAAAAGAACCATTTTTGGTCTTAAGCAATCTGTTTACCTGGCTTGGAGTGAGAACACCTGCTCTGGGCCACAAGTGCCAGAGGAAGAAGGTGCTAGAAGGTGCCCCCGGGACTGATTAGATCCCCAAGGAAGCTAGCTCTGAGGTGGATGAGAGTGAAGGTGGAGGAGCAGATGAGAGAGAGAGAGTGAGAGCATGAGTGTGAGCAGGGGAGAGGCAGGGAGAGAGGGAGAGAGAATCCCAAGCAGGCTCCACAGTCAGTGCACAGCCCAAGGCGGGTCTTCATCCCATGAACTGAACCATGAGATCATGACCTGAGCCGAAATCAAGAGTCGGATGCTTAACCGACTGAGCCCCCCGGGCGCCCCATCTTTTCTTTTTGATTGTATCTGTGAGAAGATGGACGTCGGCTGAGCCCGCCGCGCTGGCCATTCTACCATCTGTGTAAGTCAACCAGTACGCTGGACGCCTTACACTTACACCGTCACGTTGGCCAGTTCTTTTTCAATAAAACTGGAAAAAAATTAATTATCAATTAAAAAAAAAAAGAGAGCTGAGATAGTCCTTAGAGCTCATCTAGTCAAATGTGACCCCGAATAAAGAGTCTGAGGCCCAGAGGCGGGATGCCCACAGTTGTTGAACAGCAAGAGCCAGGGTGGGACTTTTGTGACTCCCTGGCCAGTGTCCTTTTGTGACTCCACTAATCCGCAGCTCCATTGCCCAGTGAGTACAGGAGTCTCCTGGGTTCCTGGTCCTACCTGGGCACGTGCCACCGAGGATGCCTTGGAGCCCAGGGGCGAGGCAGGGAGAGGGGTAGCCAGACCAAGGCCCCGGGAGGAAGTCAGTCTTTTCAGAGCAGGCGTGTCCTGGAGCAGAGCTTGACCCCTTCTCTGGCGCAGGAGAAGCCCCCCTACAACCTCAAGGCCTTCCACCTGCGCATCAGCTTCCCCGAGGACTATCCGCTCAAGCCTCCCACGGTGACATTCACAACCAAGATCTATCACCCCAACGTGGGCCACAATGGAGAGGTTTGCCTGCCCATCATCAGCAAGGAGAACTGGAAACCTTACACCAAGACCTGCCAAGGTGGGGCTGGGCCTCGCCTAACGGGAGGGACTGATCCTGGAGGGGGGATTATGGGATTGATTTTGAATCAGAAAATGCCCTCAAAGAGAGGAGACAAAAGTTGCGACTCTCAACTGAGCCTGCCTTCGGATAGAAGGGATGCGTCCTGAGATCCTGGGCTGGCTGACCTGGGCCTGCTCTGCTTCTACCTGGGCAGCTGGGACAGAGAGCAGCGTGGCCATGGGACATGGGGGGAGAGGCAGTGGCCTGTAGAGGGAAGGGCTGTGCTGCTCTGTCTGCAGACCTTGCTGAGGCCTACTCCTCCTCAGGCTCAGTGCCCTAAATGACAGGTTATGGGGCGCCTGGGTGACTCGGTCGGTTGAGCGTCCGACTTCAGCTCAGGTCATGATCTCAGGGTTCATGGGTTCGAGCCCCGCATCGGGCTCTGTACTGACAGCTGGCTCAGAGCCTGGAGACTGTCTTCAGATTCTGTGACTCCCCCTCTCTCTGACCCTCCCCTGCTCACGCTGCCTCTATCTCTCTCTCAGAAATAAATAAAACATTAAAATAAATAAATAAAATAAAATAAATGGCAGTTGAGGGGATTGGCCCAGCAATGCCTGTATGCATCGATTAAGCATTTCTGTCCAGTGCTAGGAGCTTCACACACCGCCTTCATCCAGTCCCCCAGCAGCCCCATGCGTAGTGCTCTCATAGCCCATTGTAGAGATTGGCACACTGAGGCACACGATACGTGAAGCACTGGCCTGTGTCTGCCCGCTGGCTAGAGGCAGAGCTGGGACTCAGGAGGCAGGCCTGGCTGACTCTAGAATAGCGCTGCCCAGAACTTTCTGTAGCAATGCAAATGATCTGCAGCTGCCCCATCTAGTTCCCTAGCCCCTGGCACCTGCGGCTCTGGGGCACCTGCAATGTGATCCCACAACTGAGGCCCTGAATTCCTGACTGCAGTTCACTTTCATTCATTTCAATTGAGATATCTGCATGTGGCTAGTGGCCACCGTATTGGATGGTGCATTTCTAGAGTCCGTGAGTGTCATCTGTGTGTGATCTATCCTGCTCCTGGACCAGCTCAGGAACTTTTTTTTTTTTCAGTGTTTATTTATTTTTGAGACTTGGCGCAAGTAGGTGAGGGGCAGAGTGAGGGGTACAGAGGATCTGAAGTGCGCTCTGCACCGACAGCAGCGAGCCCGAGGTGGGGCTCGAACTCATGACCAGAGCTGAAGTAGAATGGCTAACTGACTGAGCCACCCAGTGCCCCAGGACCAGCTCAGGAGTTCTTAACCTTAGAAACAAGGCCCCTGGGGGGGGGGGTGGCGGTTGGGAAGGGAGGAGTGGTCCTTGGGTGAGCTTCAGGAGGTCTATACAGCACTCTTAACCTAGACCGGCATGTTGGTGCGTATTCACACGTGCACACGCCTCAAGAGCTGCCCACTGCCTTCCCTTGGTTCCCGAGCCAACCGTGAAAGGGTAGATGCCAACGGGGCAACAGCACTTTACAGTCTGTAGCCCCAGAACCCCTTTTCCCAAATAAAAGTTGATTTATTTGGAATCATTTTTTAAAATTATTTTATTTCTTTTGAGAGAGAGCACAAGCAGAGGAGAGGCGGAGAGAGAGGGAGAGAGAATCCCAAGTGGGCTACGTACTGGCAGTGCAGAGCCCACTTAGGGCTATTTGGAATCTGAATATCAAACAGAAAAACAAGGCAGTTCTTGTTGAAAACGGAAACCCCATTGATCTCATTGACCGCCATGATGGGAAGTTTCTCTGAAGCTGCGGGACATGGTTTGAAAGCACCAACGCAGCCAGGCAGGGCTCTGGGCTCCATCAGTGAGGAACGAGGGGCACGTAACTTGGCTGTAATGTCATGATCCTAAGAGATCTTCCTCCTCGGGGTCCCCCGCGGAGTGAGTGTGGGGTTGCCGGGGGATTGGGGAGGGGGCTGCCCTCGCCTCCTCCCCAGGATTTCCCCCTCCGTCCTGATGCCTGACATCCTGACCCGGCTTCTCTCCCCAGTCCTGGAGGCCCTCAGCGTGCTGGTGAACACACCAGACATGACGCAGCCCATCAGGTTGGAGCTCGCAGACCTGCTGATGCAGGACCCAGAGCTGTTCCACAGGGAGGCCAGAGAGTTCACCCTCAAGTACGGAGCCGACCGGCCCTCCTAACTGGTCCTGACCTCTCTCTTCGCTGGATCCTCTCTGCGGGATGCTCTCTGCGGGATGGACGGACATTTCAGGGGGGAGGGGCTGGGCCTCCCTCTCATTTGTTCCATGTTTTCCTTCTTAGGTGGTTAGTCATTAGCCTGTGTGTGTGTGTGTGTGTGTGTGTGTGTGTGTGTGTAGTGTGGACCCATTCCCAGGCTCACCCGGCCACGGCGTGCTTTTCCTCTTCTCTCTCTCTGCCCCAGAGCCAGAGGGGTTCACGTTCATACAGTGACAGGCCAGCGCTCCAGTGCTCTGTCGTCTCAGAGACACGGGTCACCTTCAGGACAGCTGGCAGGAAATGAGCCCAGGAGCCACCTCGAATCCCCCTACGGCCCAGGTATCAGGGGGCAGAGGGGGCATGAGGAGTATGGAGGGGAGGGCAGGCCCTTGGAGAGAATCATATTTACACTTGAATGATTTGTTTATTGAGTGTTTGAAGTCAGCCAGACTGTTAATAGGTACTTCACGTCTAGATTTCTTGCTAAACCTTTTTTTTCCACTGATAAATCACACACTAAAGAATCTAATCTCTATCCAGAAATCTGACTCTATGGTTGTTTTTTATAATGTTATACGCTTTAATGTTTATTGTTGAGAGGGGGGAAGGGGCAGAGAGAGAGGGTGACAGAGATCTGAAGCAGGCTTTGTGCTGACGCCAGAGAGCCCGACACGGGGCTTCGAACTCACAAACTGTGACATCATGACCGGACCCAAAGTCAGATGTTTAACTGACTGAGCCACCCAGGCACCCCAAATTTTTTTTCATTTTTTGAGAAAGTCAGTGTGTGAGCAGAGGAGGTGCAAAGAGAGAGAGGAACAGAGAATCTGAAGCAGGCTCTGCACTGACAGCAGAGAGCCTGATGCAGGACTTGAACTCACAAACTGCAAGGTCACAACCTGAACCAAAGTAAGATGCTCAATCCACTGAGCCCCCAGGCACCCCAGGCTTTAAAACCACTTGCAGTCTGGGGGCCAGGCTTCAAGCTGGGAGGAAGCCCTCCAGCTTCCAGTCCAGGGTGGGGCTGGGGGGGCGGGTACACAGAAAGCATCTGCTTGTCCACCCATTGAAGTCACAGATTAATTTGGAGCCAGCGGAGTGTTTATGGAGAGGATGATGTGGTTTAATCAGGAGAAGGTGAGGGTTAGCTCCATCTCCCAAAGGTGTGGCCCTCTTCCCAAGTGGGGCTCTCTGGGCTTCGAGCCTCATGTAACCCCAAACACCGTGGACAGAGCTGGCCACACAGAGAGGCTGTCAACACGCTCCCGCTTTACAGATGAGGCAACTTAGGCACAGAGTGCTTCGGTGGGTTGCCAGGTCCGCTCTGCCAATCCGGGCAGAGTCCACACTACCTGCTGCAGTGCCAAACCAGCTGATTTTCGTTTGTGTTTTTCATGAGCTGTTCTCAACTGCACACAAGCTCCAAATGGCTGATTAAGCCAGACAGGATTGTGAGCAGGAAGTTCTAAGCAGCTCAGAGGTGCGTCCCTAATGAGCAATAGAAAAGCCAAGCCAACAGAGGGCTTGTGGGAGGGGGCATGGGCTAAATAGGGAAGGGGCGTTAAGGAATCGACTCCTGAAATCATTGTTGCACGATATGCTAACTAACCTGGATGTAAGGTTTTTGAAAAATTAATAAAAAATAAATAAAATAAAAATAAATAGGGCACCTGGGTGGCTCAGTCCGTCAAGCGGCCGGCTTCAGCTCAGGTCATGATCTCACAGTTTGTGAGTTCAGGCCCCGTGTCAGGCTCTGTGCTAGGAGCTCAGAGCCTGGAGCCTGCTTGGGATTCTGTGTCTCCCTCTCTCTGCACCTCCCCCACTCACTCTCTGTCTCTCAAAAATGAATAAATGTTTTAAAATTTTTTAAATAAATAAATAAAAGAAAAGCCAAGCCAAAACTTCAGCCCAGGCCCAAGGGATTAACTTAACCTGAAGGAAGGACCTTCAGGGGGCAGTGGGTCGAAGTTGCCGGAAAACTACTACTCACAGGACACAAATGCAGGGTGTCTTTGAGTTGAGGGCATCACCCAAGGCCCCACTAACCTAGTTTGAGATTTCTCGAGAATCTTCTATCCCAGCACCTGTCCTGGAATTCCCTAATCTGGGAGAAGGGTGGAAAGAGGAAAGAGAATTGGGAAAAATACCACCGATGGCTCAAAACATATGAATGCGTTTACTTCTGGCCTCACACATTGAACACTTAATGTGACAGGCACCGGGCAAAGCTTTCTGCTGATTTCATTACCTCGTTTAACCCTCCCAGCACATCCGTGAGATTTGAACTCCTAGTATGCCTGTTCAGATGGTAAACAGGCTCAGAGAGGCTAAGTCACTGGCCCAAGGTCACACAGCTGCTTAGTGGTGGGACCGAGGCCATCGTACTTTCCCAGATGGTGTCATGTTGTTGAGAAGATCATGTCAGGTAAGGAGGCCTGGAGGCCAGGCTTTATTATCCAAGAGTGAGCGAGGTTCTTGGGCTGGGGGGAAGGGTGTAGGGTGCACTGAGGGGCCAGACAAGATTTTACAAAAGTACTTTTAATGCATTTACGACTGGTGCCACCTGCCCTGCTCGAGCTCCAGCACTGTGGCCTCGGGGCCATGGCCGGTCAGCTGGGCATCCTGCCCACCTCCGCCTACCGCGCCAGTCAGCTCCTCATTTTTTCTTGGTCTTCACCAGTCCCTTCTGCACCAGGCTGCGGTACAGCTCCTGGATGTAGGTGTAGACGCACTTGGAGTCAGGCACTGCCAGCCGCACCATGTCATCCACCTCCAGCAGCTGGGCACAATCGGCCAGTTTCCTGAGGGGCAGGGGTAGGGGGCGGTGAGCAGCAGAGCCAAAGCTGAAGGGTGTGGGGCGCAGGGGAAGGGGGCCGCCCAGCAAGGATGAAACCCACAGAATTGTGTGTGTTGGAGCCGGGAGGTCATCTCGGCCAACCATCCCATTGCACGGATGAGATCACTGAGACCCTGACAGTCTGCCCTCAAACATAGCCTGGCCTGATCCCAGAGCCCATGTTTCCAGTGCGCTGTGTGTGCTCGTGTGGGAGGAAGACCTCTGGTTTCTAGTCCTACCTTAACCGCCCCCTTGACGCGCTGGCCCGCCTGTGCTCTGAAAGGCCAAGTGCCTCGGTGAGTTTAGAGCACGGAGCCCAGTGCTAGCCAGAGTGCAGCTTGCATCAGCACTGTCCACAAGGTCTGAAGATGCACAGTCTCCTTCATGCAGCCTCTCTGTATTTCCTGAGGACCTACTGTGTGCCAGGCACTCCTGTAGGGAATTCAGCACCGTGCAAAACCCAGACTTCCCCACTCGTGTCACTGACAGTCTCGTGGCAGAAGGCGGGCAATAGTCAAACATGTTGTACATGGTCCATCAGATGATGAGAGGGGTTACGGGGAAATAAGGGAAGGGAGATGGGATAGGTTCCTATGTCGGGGGTGTTTTTTAATAGGGTGCTCGAGGAAGGCTTCTTAGAATAAATCATGTACATATCTGAGGGAAGAGGATTCCGGGCAGAGGAAACAGCATGTGCAAAGGCCCTGAGGCAGGAGTGCTTCACATGTTTGAGGAACTGCATGGAGTTTAGCAGCAAGTCCTCTTTTTCTAACTTCCCAGCTGCTCTTTGAGACCATGGGCTGCTTCTGGCTTTGCCAAGCCTGATAATCAGAGCAAACCACTGTTGGGGCCTTGGTACCACATGGCACATACTTTATTAGGGTTTCCCCTTGAGTGGTCTCATGCACTCCTCCCCTCCATCCTCAACCAGCAGAAGAGGAGTTGGAGACTGAGCATTTGGGGGACTTCCTCAAGGTCAAAGTGAGTGGCGCAGCCGGAACTCAACCCTAAGCCTGTCCCTGGCATCCTCGCCCTGAAGCTGGGTCTCGGCAGCCCCAGCCTGCCAAACTGCCATGGGTGCTGACAGCAGGTGAATCCGGGGGCCCAGCAGAAATCCTCTCTTGGGGCTCAGAGACAGTGGGGCTCACACCCAAACTGGGCTGGCCTGAGATCGGGGGAGGAGCACAGACTGGAAGACTTCCAGGAATGGGATACACTCCCTGCTACCCAATGCAGGTGAGTCCGGGGTGTGAGTCAGGATGCTGGTCCCCTGCAAGGGAGAAGCATCATTCCTGCGGGCTCTGTGGGGGGCGGGGCCGGGCTCCTTGGGCAGCACAGCTGATGGAGCCCTCTGGGGGCTCGGCCACTGGCGGCTCCCCCTCATCCCAGGATTCCACGGGAATCAGGTGAGTTCTCCAACGGGGGCAGTGGGAGGCGATGGCCGTGGCAGGGGCCCCCTTACTTTGCACACCTAATCTTCACACCAAACCCAAAGAGAAGGTAAGTCAGCCGCCAAGACCCTCAGCGCTAAGAAGGAAGGGGCAGGGCTCAAATCCGGCAGGTCGACCTCTGCACTCTCCAGCCCCAGGCATCCCCACCAACACCCTTCTCTATCCAGCGTCATCACCTGACTGTTCAGTTTGCCTGCCCATGGCTCTGGCTTGGAACCCAGCAGGGCAGCGCAGGGGGACAATGACCCACGTCCTGCAGGCCAGGGACACGTGGTTCCTGATGTTCACTTACAGCTCTCCGTCTCCACTGGGGGTTCACTCGCGTGTCACGCCCTGCGCCCTCCTGTGTGAACCTAGGACGTCCAGGGACCCCACTACTGCTCCCCACACTGTAAGACGCTGACCGGATGGAATGAGAGGGGACCCGGGGAGGGCGCTCAGCAGGACACCTGGCGCCTAATCACCCTCAAGTCCTGGGGCTTCTCAGCGTCCTTACAGGTGCTTCTGAGCCCAGAGCAGGATGTGGCCTCCTGACCTCCTTGGCTTCCTACCCCAGGGCGCTCACTCCATCCCTGGGCAGGAAAATGTGAACCTGTTAGGGATCTTCTGGAAGATCAAGGCTGGTGGTTTTCCAGTTGCATCCTTAGTGCCCTAGGGCGCCATACACATGCCTCAGGGAGCATCCTTAGAAGGGTGTTGGGCACGGAGCTGCTGTGCTCCAGAAGCCCTTCTCGACCTAGAAATGTCCCCCGCTTGAGTGATGACATTGATGGACCATGAAATCAAAGACATAAGGAAGCTGATGGAGAGAGGGAAATGGTGATGTTAAAGGGTTAGAAGCCCCCACAGGGATGCCTGGGTGGCTCAGTCAGTTAAGTGTCCAACTTTGGCTCAGGTCATGATCTCACGGTTTGTGAGTTCAAGCCCCGCATTGGGCCCTCTGCTGACAGCCTGGAGGCTGGAGCCTGCTTCGGATTCTGTGTCTCCCTCTCTCTTCTGCCTCTCTCTCTGTCTCAAAAATAAACATTAAAAAAAAAAAAAAAAAGTCCCCACAGGGCAAAAAATCTCTTGCAGTGAGGGTGCTAAACGAAGTGAGTTAGAAAGGTGAGGGGTGGGGGCGCCTGGGTAGCTTAGTCGGTTAAGCGTCCGACTTTCGCTTAGGTCATGATCTCGTGGTTCGTGGGTTCGAGCCCCACGTCGGGCTCTGTGCTGACTGCCAGCTCAGAGCTTGGAGCCTATTTCAGAGTCTGTATCTCCCTCTCTCTCTGACCCTCCCCTGCTCACGCTGTCTCTCTCTCTCTCCTAGAAATAAATAAAAAAATTAAAAAAAAAAAAAAAAGAAAGGTGAGGGGTGGGGACAGGTAGAGACCGGAATGTCTGAAACCAAGGTTTTGTAGGTGGTATAGTTATTGCCAGAAACTCGTAACCATGAGCAGGTGGCTGAGGAGAAGAGGGATGACCTCAAATAAGCATGAAGCCAGAGGGTGGTAGTGGTTTGTGTTAATGGGTCACGTGGTCCAATGTCAGCCAGGCTGTGGACAACTGTCATTTGGGTTAGGACATGCTTTGCACCTTCTCTGCCTGTTTAATTACATACATGTTACAGCCGCGAACGTCAAGCTTTATGAATGAGATCGTGCTTGAAGCAATATCTAAGTTTCATAAGGAAAGTGTTATTTAGTTAAATGAAAGTTTTTAATAAAGAAAAAGAAAAAGGTCCCCTTTAATCTGTTTTATATGTTGGGCATTCACTTAATCTTTTGCGTGAAGAACCTACTGGAAAAGAAAGACCCCATTTGAAAAGCACAGCTCAGGGGCACCTGGTGGCTCAGTTGGTTAAGTGTCCAACTCTGGATCTCGGCTCGGGCCATGATCTCATGGTTCACGAGATGTAGCCCCACGGAGGGTTCTGTGCTGACAGCGCAAAGCCTGCTTGGGATTCTCCCTCTCCCTTTCTCTCTGCCCCTCCCCTGCTCACATTCTTTCTCTGTCTCTCAAAATAAATAAACTTAAAAATATATTTAAAAATAAAAAAGAGAGAGAGGGGCCCCTGGGTGACTCAGTCGGTTAAGTGTTTGACTTCGGCTCAGGTCATGATCTCACAGTTCGTGGGTTCGAGACCCAGGTCTGGCTCTGTGCTGACAGCTCAGAGCCTGGAGCCTGCTTCCGATTCTATGTCTCCCTCTCTCTCTGCCCCTCCCCCGCTCACGCTCTATCTCACTCTGTCTCTCAAAAATAAATAAATGTAAAAAAAAAAAAAGAAAAAAGAAAAAGAAAATCACAGTTCAGCCTCACTCTTCCCATTTTGCCCACAGGGACACGCAGGCCCAGAGGTGGGAATGTTGCTTCCCCGGGACTTCCCGGCCGGTTGGCGGCCAGGTCTGGGCTAGACCCGAGGGCTCAGCGTTCCAGACCAAGGTGTTTGCTAATGTCCCTTGTGACCTATGTCCTGTCCCAGGGCTTTGGAGGTGCCCTCATTGCCTTCCGGGGCGTCAGAGTTGCCCTTATTGGTGACATTCTCTGCAGAGTCTGTTTCTACCAGGTGGCTCAGAGCCTCTCCCTGGGGCCGGGCAGAAGGGGGTCCTGGCATGGCTCCTTGGGAACCCTGAGGCCATCAGGGTGTGTTCAAGCCTCCCTGGTAGGAAGACACAGCAGCTCTGGCTGAGGCTGGCTTTGATGCTTCCGTGGTGGGAGCATCCCTCCCTTCCACCGTCACCCAGCAACCCACGTCTTTGCCTGTCAGGTCCTTCCTTGGGCCACCCTGTTCCTCACCCCCCTTCTGCTTCTCCAACACCACCCCCTTTCTCCATCCCACCACCACCCCTGGCGTCCCGCCATGTGGGCCTCGGCAATAAATCTCCCTCCAGATTCCAAAGCGATTAATAATGATCATAAGAAACTGTGATGTCGGGGCACCTGAGTGGCTCAGTCGGTAAACTTCCGACTTGGGCTCAGGTCATGATCTCGTGGTTCGTGGGTTCGAGCCCCGCGTGGGGCTCTGTGCTGACAGCTAGCTCAGATCCTGGAGCCAGTTTCAGATTCTGTATCTCCCTCTCTCTGTGACCCTCCCCTGCTCACGCTGTCTCTATCTCTCTCTCAAAAATAAATGAAACATTAAAAAAATAAAAAGAAACTGTGAAGTCATTCATCACAATAGAGGAACAACAGCTAAGATTCTTTTTTGAAGGGTTTGCTGTGGGCGAGGCACTGTTATACTTTCCTTATTTACTCAGTTCTCACACTAATCCTGCGACACAGGAAATGCTGTGCCCATTTTAAAGATGAGAGTGTGAAGGCTCAGAGAGGTACAGGAGCCTGTCCAAGGTCACACAGTTAACAAATGGCAGAGTCAGACTGTGGCCCCAAATCTCTGTAACCTGCCTGTCTAAAACAGCAGGCCAGCTTCTCCTCTCTTTCTTACCCCGCCTGCATTTTCTTTAGGGTGCCTATCTCTGCCCCCCACATTCTATTTCACATGAACTGTGTGTTCATGATCTGTCTCTCCCTTCCAAATGTAAGCCATAGCGGGGGCGCCTGGGTGGCTCCGTCAATTGTCGATTAGTGTTCAACTTTAGCTCCAGTCATGATCTCATGATTTGTGGGTTCGAGCCCTGCATCAGGCTCTGCTCTGACTGACAGCTCAGAGCCTGGAGCCTGCTTCAGATTTTGTGTCTCCTTCTCTTTCTGCCCCTTCCCCGCTCACAATCTGTCTCTCAAAAATAAATAAATGAAAAAAAATTTTTAGGGGTGCCTGGGTGGCTCAGTTGGTTAAACGTCCGACTTCGGCTCAGGTCATGATCTCACGATTCGTGGGATCGAGGCCTGCATCCGGCTGTGTGCTGACAGCTCAGAGACTGGAGCCTGCTTCAGATTCTGTGTCTCCCTCTTTCTCTGCCCCTCCTCTGCTCACGCTCTCAAAAATACATAAATGCTAAAAAAAAATTTTTTTTAAATATTTTTTAGAACGTAAGCTACAGCAAACAGGGATTTTGCCAAGTTCACCTACTTCTATGCCCTGAAACTGTCCCTGTCCCTGGCGATGGGAGAGTGTTGGGTTCATGAACAGCCTCCATCTGACCACCTCCCCGACCCCTGCGAATGCATCCCGAGCGCCCTTGCCCCCCACCCCCAGCCCTGCAGCGCAGCGGCTTACTCAGCGGTGGAGAAGGCCAGGGTGAAGTTGTGTCGGCGCTGCGTGGGCTCCAGGGCGGCATAGTCGAAGGCATCAGGGAAGAACTTGTGGATGAGGGCGCAGAAGGCCATGCCGCTGCTCCAGCTGGAGGAGAAGTTCTGGATGTCCACGTGCTGTGGGGGAGGGGGCCGAGCAGTCCTCAGTGAGCCTGGACGCCGCCTTCCGGCCGCACCGCGCGGACTTGCCGCCCTGGGGAAGGGTCCCCGGCCCCACGCGGCCCCTGGTCCGTGCCCACCTCATAGTTTCTTGTCATGGCCCGGCACCACTCCAAGAGCATGTTCTTGACACTGCCAATGGCTGCCCCGGCGGCCTTCGTGTTTCGGAACAGGGCCGTGGGGCCCGAGGCTGCCCTGCAGGGGAGGGGTGGGATGGGCAAGGCCCTGCCTCCGGAGGTCCCATCAGGGAGGAGCCCCGGCCCCTGGTATCAGTCCCCCCAGGTCGGCCGGGGCTTCCCCTGCGGGGTTCCTGGGGGAAAGCCCGGCGCGGCCTGCGCCCTACCCGCCAAACTTGTCCACGATGGCTTTGCGGTTCTGTGCGCGGGGCCCCCGGGGCCGGACAGGGGCTGACACCCTGCGCTCTGGTGCCTTCTCTTTCTTCTTCTCCTGTGAGGGAGGGGGCTCCGTGGGACTCTGGGGCGCATCGCTTGGTGAAGACTCACTGCGGGGACGGCAGAGAGAAGTGTGAGGAGGGCTGGGAGCAGCCACTACAGGGGACCGGGCAGGGGACTGGCTGGGGTGGGCGGTCCCTGCAGTCAAGAAAGGCCTAGGAAACTGAGGCCCCCACTCCCTGCACCTTTTCTCAGTGCCCAGCCCTGGGAGGAGGTCAGTGAGGCTCACTGTAACCTTGGGGAGCACATGTTCTGGTGAGATGTGTGGGCAGAACTGAGCTAAGTGTGAGGTCTGACCTGAGTTTGAATCCTGGCTTTGCCTCTTATTTGCTGTGTGATCTTGGGACTGTGATGTCACTTTTCTGAGCCTCAGCGACCTCATCTGTAAACTGGGGACGAGAAGAACTGCCTGACAAGGCGGCTCTAAGGCTTGAGATCGAGGGGGCATGTAGAGCACCCAGCTGTGGCTGCCACCTCCCTGTCCCAGTGCTCAGAGAACATTGACCCGTTACCTTTCCCTACGAAAGTGACACGGAGGTGAATTTCAGGTCAAAATAAAGGAAGCTTCTTCTGAGTTAAGTTATGTGATGGTGAAAAGAAGGCTCTCACTTTATCCAGCACCTGCTGGGTACCCGGCACTGTGCTAAGTTCTTTATACATTTTATTTTTTTAAGTGTATTTATTTATTTTGAGAGAGACAGAGACAGTGCAAGTGGGGGAGGGGCAGAGAGTGAGGGAGAGAGAGAGAGAATCTCAAGCAGTCTCCATGCTGCCAGCGCAGAGCCTGATACGGGGCTTGAATTCACGGAACTGTGAGGTCGTGACCTGAGCTGAAACCAAATGTCGGTGCCCCTCCGAGTGAGGCAGCCAGACGCCTCTGTACATTTTCTTTTAAACTAATCCCTGCACCGAGCCTGGGGCTCGAATTCATGATCCCAAGATCAAGAGTTGCATGCTCTACTGAATGAGCCAGGCGGGTGCCCCAAGTGCTTTGTACATTTTATGTCACATAAGCCCCACAGTAATCCTCGGAGGTAGGCATGGGTACGGTGCCCACTTGGCAGATGAGAAAAGTGACAAAACCAAGGTCACGTGGTTGGTAAGTGGCATAGTCATGGTCTGAACTCAGGCTTTCTGTTCAGGTTCTGTGGGTAGTGCTGGCACCACGGAAAGTGCTGAGTGACAGAACGAAGAGCCCCGTGAAGATGGGTCATGGACACCGGTCAAGGACGCCGAGGTGGAGGCTTTCACAGTGGAGTGGGAGCGAGAGGACCAGGCGTGCTGCACGCTCCCGTGCTCCCTTCGCTCCCATCCTCAGGCTCCTTTGGTTTCGTGGGCTCTGCCCTGGGATAGGGGGCCAGAAGCCAGGAATCCTGGAGTATCTCAAGATCAGGCCCCAGGAGGGGCACCTGGGTGGCTTGGTCGGCTGTGTGTCCGACTTCGGCTCAGGTCATGATCTCACGATTTGTAGGTTCAAGCCCCGTGTCCGACTCTGTGCTGACAGCTAGCTCAGAGCCTGGAGCCTGATTTCAGATTGTGTCTCCCTCTCTCTCTGACCCTCCCCTGCTCACGCTACCTCTCTCTCTCTCTCAGAAATTTAAAAAAAAAAAAATCAAGATCAGGCTCCAGGAGACCCAGGCCCAGAGGACGGTAGACTTGGAAGGGAGCAAGCAGTAGAGGGACTAGGAGCTGGGACCCCAGAATTCGACATTACCTGGTGGAAGGACTGGTCTGTCCCGAAGCTGCAGAGTCTGGACTCACCCCACCTGGAGGGACGGAAGGGGGGAGAGAAGCTGGAGTGCCTGCTCCATGTGGTCTGCACGCCCCTCCGGGTGGCTCCCTGGACTCACCCTCACCAGGGCTGAGGCCACTGCCCTCCTCCGTGGGGCTCTCGAGCCATTCCTCGGGGGAGCTGGGAACCACTCCTGCTCCTTCCTCCGACTCTCTCTCCGCACCCTGGTCCTGCTCTTGCTCGGGACCCCCTGACTCCTGGAACGAACATGAACTGCGTGGGCTCACGGGCCCACAAGCACCTGCCCAAAGCTTTGTGAGGACTGCAGAAAGATCCAGAAGGCAGCTTGGTGCCACGGCGCTGCGTCCCCCACCCCGGGGCTCTTGATGTCACTGGGAAGACTGGATCTTCCCTAAGGAATAACAACGGGCTGGGGCTGAGGCGGGGGCTGGCTTCCTGAGGTGCCGGGGGCTCCAGAACACTGTGGGGGCCTCCTCCCCCTCCTCAACTTTGCCTCACTCACCGCTTCCTTCCCGTCAGCCTTGGCCTCCGCCTCTTCCATAGCAGCTTTCTCCTGAGAGTCTATCCCGGCCTCTGGGGCATCGGCTTTCTCTTGAGTTTCCGCTGCAGGCTCTTCTGTCTGGTCGCTCTCCTCCTGAGAGGCCGCTGTGGCCTCCTCCTTCCCATCAGCCTCCTCGGCTCCAGCCTCGGCCTCCGGCTCCCCAGTGGCCTGCTTGGGCTCAGCCTCGGCCTCCTCGATCACACGGGCTTCCTCCCCAGATTCAGGCGTGGCCTGCTTCTCCTCAGCCGACGGCTTCTCAGAGGCCAGCGTGGCCTCCTTGGGTTCCAGTTGCGTCTCTTCCTTCCCATCAGCCATCTCGTGAGGAGCCACCATGACTTCTTCCTTCCCACCATCTTCCTTGTGAAGTTCAGCCTCCCCTTTGGATTCCACCTTGGCCTCATCCAGCCCGTTTGCTGCCCCCTGAAGTTCAGCGGAAGTGCTCTCCTCGGCTGGTGCTCTTTCCTGCCTTCCGGCCCCATCCGGAGGCCCCTCTTTGAGGGTCCTCTCCACTGTGGCTCTTCCCTCCTCTTCAGCAGAGGCTCCGCCTCCCTGTGTCACTGGGGCCTCTGTGGCTGGGGAGACACTGGTCCCATCCTTGGAGGAGGGCTCCCCTTCCTTCTGCTCCATCTCTGAAAAGTGGAGACAAGCAGACCTGGTCATGCCCATTGCTGTGTGAGGTGAGGCCCCCGCCCTTGGAAAGCGCTGACCCGGGGGTCTGGAGGCCTGGTGTTCCGTTTTGGGTCCTCCACTGCCTGAGCTTGTGACATGAGCAAGACATGACGTTTTTCGTGATAAAATGAAGGGGTAACAGTGCTGCTTCCCCAAAGGCGTGGTGATGGGCCACATTGACTTGACATTGGGTGGTGTTTACCTAACAGCCCTCTGCGGGCCATGGCTTAGGCTTTAGAGAACATTAGATCACGTAATGCCTTTTCAATGATTTTGCCTCTTTCTGATGAAGGCTGTGAGACGGTTACAGTGTGGCCGGCATCTGGGACACCTGTGCAGCAGAGGCTAGTCTCCCATCTTAATGGAGCCCAAGGCAGGCGGGAGCACACAGACAGCATTTAGTAGTACTGCCCTGTTTCCACTGTACTTATTTCTACAGTTACTTTCTATTTCTGGCCAGTGATATTGAGTTTCCATTTCCAATAGGGGAGATAAGGTTGCTTTTAAAAATACATTTACTGGATTTAAAAATAAGTTAATTCAAAGGAAGGCATTCAGGGTACAGATGTGGCTTAGTTCCGGGGGTGGTGTAAAAACGCCCCAAATCTGGGAAGACCTGGGCCGGCTGGTGTCTGGGGCTCAGCCCAGTTCCCCCCGTGGTCCTCAGAAAGAGTTCATTTTGGCAAAGAATAGACACGTACTCTTCCTAACCTCTGCCAGAGACATCTGAGCCTCTGACTGCCAGGGACAAGTCAGGGGAGAGGGACATTATGACACCTTAATGTGGGGTTTCCTGTCCAAGTACTGTAACTACCGTAGGGTCTACAGAAACAGGTGGGTGGGGGGACAGGGCCAGCTTGCTCATCCCCCTGCCCTTCTTGGGTGTCTGTTTACAAAGAAAACAAGCCTCAGATAGCGTTCAGGGAATGACTCAGGCGGTGAGAGAAGTAGGCGCTCGTGTCACCGGCTAAAAATACCTCCTGCCTTCTGCAACGCCACCATTCTAGGTGACAGTACCCGGGGCACCTGGGCAGTTGGGACAGAGGCAGGGAGACAGGTGGACTGGCGACAGGGCCCTGGTCCCGCCACCCACTCGGGTCTTACTGCCCCCAGTCCAGCGTCCTGGGGTCCATGGATGCCGTGCCCCCACCGGTTTCCGAGGGGCGCAGATTTGCAAAGTTTGCAAAGATGCTCACACTGTCCTCCAACTGCACCCCCCTCCTCCCGCCAGAGCCCCTTCACGGTCCAGCAGCCCCAGCAAAGGATAAACTGGGATCCAACCAGCAGGATGAGATGCGTTTCAGCAGGGAGCCAGGAGGCCCAGGAGCTGGCTTCGCCGCATCTCCTGGTCGCCCACTCTGAGACCTCAACAGACCCTTTCCTTCTCAAGTGCTCGGTTTTCACCACCAAAGATAGGATTCATCTAGATCAGGTTTTCCAAACTGTTCTGTGGAAAACTAGGGTCTCCTAAGACATTAATAGGGGTTAGGGTTGGGCGGGGGGGGGGTGTAGCCTCTGGCTGAAGTTGTTCCAGAAATGGCCTACTCTTTACCCTTTTAGAGATACACACCTTCTTTAGTGCCTAAGTGGATTCTAGATACCCCCTTAACTTTGGGGAGGCTGGGTGGCTCTGTTGGTTAAGCGTCCAATTTTATTTTCTTCTTATTTTTTTTTCAAAGTAGGCGCCACGCCCAATGTGGGGCTTGAACTCATAACCCTGAGATCAAGGGTCATGCGCTCTATGGACTGAGTTAGTTGGGTAGGTGCCCGGAGGGGAGCACTCAGCACACATCAGCTCGTAAGGTCCTGACCCCTTCATGAGGGCATTTAATTTTTTTTATGTCTTTTTTTTTTATTTTTGAGAGAGAGAGACAGGCAGACAGACAGAGCATGAGTGGGGGAGGGGCAGAGAGAGAGGGAGCCACAGGATCGGAAGCAGGCTCTAGGCTCTGAGCTGTCAGCACAGAACCCGACTCGGGACTCGAACCCACGGACTGTGAGATCGTGACCTGAGCCAAAGTCAGATGCCTAACTGACTGAGCCACCCATGAGGGCATTTAGTTGGTAAGACAAGGCAGGGGGAAGAGAATACCAGGAAGATGCTCACAAGCCCCTTTTACACCTCAAAGCGTGGTGGTGCTTGGCCGAGGCATAGTGGAGGGTGACAGCCATCTTTCCTTTTTCTAACTGTCTCACACTGTGGGGGAGTGGGGGAGGGAAGGACGGGCAGGTGTACACACACACACACACACACACACACACACACACACACACACACGCCTCCGCCGTCCTGCGTGTTCACCACCTTGGCTTTCCGCCCTGCAGGCTTGTCATAAATAGATAAGGAGTGAAGAAACTCAGGACGTGAGAAGCCAGGATAGCGCCCTTCGGCCCCGACACGAACGATTCTGTAGCAGCTTGACAGCTGACACTCCGGTGCCTGGCTCCACCTCACTCATTCCTCTCTCTAGCCCTTTGGGGGTGGGTGTCACTGGCCCCATTTTACAGACTGGGCATTGGAGGCTCGCGGGGTTGAAGTCCCCTGAAGTCACAGGACAATTTAGTGGTCCTGTCGTCTCTAGAATCCAGGTCTCCTGACAGCCAGCCCGGTGCTTCTGCCAGGGATGCCCCTCCCACGAGCGCCCCAGCCAGGGGCCTGGAGTGAGCGGCACCCCACTGGTGGGCGAGGGCAGTGGCTGTGACGGTGCTGCTCTCTCTCCCTCTGCCATTCACGGCAGGGCCTCTCCTCCCCCCCCCTCCTCTTCCCCAGTCCTCCCTCCCCAGGAAGCCTACAGTTTGTACTGTAGACAGCTCCCTTTCCCTCTCCCGGTTTCTCCTGGTCGACTGGGCGAGAAAGAACCCAGGAGCTCGAGTTCCAAGCTCCAAATAGTGTAGACGACACTTGATGGCTCTGTTCCTACGTCCGCCAAACCCGTGCCGCCCAATCTGCCTTCTGGTGGTCCTGAGGCTGCCACCATCCCCCACCCTAGCCAGGGACCCTCCCTCGGAGAGTCTGCTTAGAGAGGCTGCCTCCCACCGCAGCCGGCCTGGACCCCCAAGGCCCTCTGTGCCCCTGTCGGGGCCTCCCTGTGGATGGCCACCTGTGGGCCGCTCTGTGGGTGATCTGTAGTTGCCCAACACCCTAGGGCAGGGTCCCTGACCTCTGGCTTCTACAGAGAGCCGACAAAGAGGTGGAGAGGATTAGCAAAGAGCCTGGATTTCTCCAACTCTGGGGCTCTGCGGAGAGGCTCCAGGCCTCGGAAGGTGGGAGAGGGGGTGGGCGGCTGCAGCGGCCACTCAGAACCGGCTGGGGCTTCTCCTACCTGTGTGGCCTCCGCCTGGGGGCTTGGAGCTGTCTCCTCCCTCCAGCTGAGCGGCCTCACTCCCAGGGCTGCCTTTAGCCCCAGCCCCGTGGCTTCTAGCCCCCAGCTCCTGGGTCTGCCCGCCTCCCCCCGCCTCCCCCCTCCCACCCTACCCCACCCCCACCCCTACCCCAAGAGCCTTGGGCCCAAGGAGAGCATTGTTTACCGCCCTGTTGGTACAACACTTCCCCCTGGCCTAGGAGGCTCAGATTTCCCGTGAAGATTTGACAGGTGGCACCTTTCAATCACAGCGCGTCTTTCCTGCCCTGACCCCTGCGGCGTCCATCCTGTGGCCACCTTTCTTCCCAGAGTACTTGCCTCGCCCTGGTCACCCCGCAGACCGTCCGCAGGCCCATGTGGAATAAGGCCACCAGCCCTCTGGCCTCGCCGGCCAGTCCAGACCCCAGGCTAGGCCTCCCCTGTTCCCTTTGCCCCCCACCCCGACTCCCACCCCATGTTCCTTTAAATACTCCTTTACTTCGGAAGGAAACAGCTGCTGAGGAGTCGGCTGTGGAGGCGCCTAACGGGACAGCTGCCCACAGTGGGGTGTCTCAGGGGCTCACACTGCACAGAGGGGTGGGAGGAGGGGCGAACAGGTGAGGAGGGATGATGGCCCAGGCTGATGGACCGCTGGGCTTGGAGTCTAGAAAATACAGGACTGAGTTCTGTTTTAAGCTGAAGCGATGGGCCCATAGGAGGCTCTGAACACATTTTTGTACTGAATTGGGATTTTGCTCAGAAGAACCGATGTGTCCTGTGATGTAAGAGAGGTACCACCCTGGGAGAACATGTGCAGAGCGGGTCCACGTGGCTGATGAAGCCGGGGGCTCCCCGCAACCCCCTCCCCCAGCCCCTTCCACCCTGGCCTCCTTTCTGTCCTTAAGTAAATTAATTCCTGTCTACACTCAGGGCTGTCGCCTTTTTGCTTCTGCCCTTTGTGAGACTGTTCATCCTTCCCATGCTGCTCTCAGCTCAAATTCTGTTTCCTCAGGGAGCCTCAGTTCCTCACCATCATGTCAGCCTGTTTCATTTCCTTCGTGATATTTCCTGGTATCCAGAGTTGGTTTATTTATTTCCTTATTACCTGACTCTCACTGGAGTAAGCCCATGAAGGCAGGGACATTATCTGCCCGGCTCATGGCTGTGTACCCGGGCTCTAGCAAATTGCCTGGTTCACATGAGGTGCTCAATAAGTATATATTGAATAAATAAATAAGTTAATAGAAGGTCATGGGACGGGGAGGGGGCCATCCCGTGGGACTTAGAGGCCACTGTAAGGCTGTTGGCTTTTGCTCTGTGATTGGAAGCCAGTGGTCCCTTTCAGGTTGTGGAGGGACACGATCTGACTTTAGTTTTTGACAAGATGACTCAGGTTGCTGTTTTGAGAACAGACGGGGGTGGGGGTGGGGTGCAGGAACTGAGGTGGGGACATTACTGCAGTAACCCAGGTGCGGGATGGTGGTGGCCGGGACAGGATGGTCAGCACTGGAGTTGAGGGGAAGTGGTGAGGAAGGGGAATAGTGGGTCACAGTGACCAAGCCTGGGGCAGCTCGATCTCTGAGCTAACAGAATAACCATTCTGCTGGAGCCATTGACGTTCTAACTCTCTCATCTCTTGCTCATCTCAAAGGAGTCCACCCAGGCTGTCTTTGTATTGTCCACACTGCTCATGAGTGGTCAGGGCCCATATAAGATTCTGGGTGACAACCCAGCACCCCTTCTGTTGGGGCTGAGGTCTCATCTAAGAGGACGATACTCTTCCGCGGTGAGTAACAAATACACAGCTCCCTTCTGGGAGGCTGGGGGGCTCGGAAGGGGTGGAACACGGGAGAGTGAGAGGCCACATCTTCAGCGTGGTGCTGACAGAGGTCAGCAACTGTAGACGATGTATCTGTATTCTAAAGAGATCTTGGAAGGCTGGGGCTGTATAAACTATTTTTTTAAGTTTATTTATTTTGAGAGGGGGGCATGAGTTGGGGGGAGCAGAGAGAGAGGGAGAGAGAGAGAGAATCCCAAGCAGGCTCCACACTGTCAGCAAAGAGCCCGATGTGGGGGTTGAACTCACAAAGCATGAGACCATGATCTGAGCTGAAATCAAGAGTCGGATGCTTAACCGATTGAGTGACCCAGGTGCCCCAATAGTACAGAGGAAGTACTGAAGGTTAAATCTTACATAACTGTATGCAAATCAAAGCCAGGAAGTTGACACTGGAACAATGGTGTGTATAGTTCTATGACATCTTATCACATGTTTAGATTTGTGTGAACACTTCCAAAATCAGGATGCATAGCCATTCCATTACCACAAAGACTTCCCTTGTGCTACCCTTTTAATGGCACCCACACACACACCCATCCTACCCTGGGCAACCATTAATCTCTCTGTCTCTATAATTCTATCATTTTGAGGATATTATTTAAATGAAATCATATGTTATATAACCTTTTGTGGCACCTAAAAAAAAAAAATCCCATCGAGGAAGCAGATGACTCTTGTAAGAACCCATCTCCTTTTCCCGTGCAATTTCTTAATAGTCCATAATACGTTGGCTGTATTATCAAAAGCAAAAACCAGCACAACACGTGTCCACTAAAATATACGTGCAATATTCACAGAAACATTGTCATAATAGCCCCAAATTGGAAACAACTCAAAAGTCAGTCAACAGTTAAATGGATAGATGAATTGTAGCTTATTCATACAAGCAAACACTAGACAGCAATAAAAAAATGAATAACAGATACGCACAACAATGTGGGTGAAATCTTATGGACACAACACTGAGCTAAAGAAGTCAGGCACAAACCAGAAAATAATGTGTAACTCCATTCACATGAGGTTCAAGAGCGGGCAACAGAATTCGGAATAGTGCATCTGGGTGGTTCAGTTGGTTAAGCGTCCAACTCTTGGTTTCGGCTCGGGTCATGATCTCACAATTTGTGGGACTGTGTCCCACGTCTGTCTATGCTGACAGTGTGGAGCCTGCTTGGGATTCTCTCACTCACTCTCTGCCCCCACCCCCAGCTGCTGTCTCTCAAAATAAATAAATAAAACATTAAAAAAAAAAAGAAGTCAGAATAGTGGTTAACTTTGGGAGCGGGGGTATGGTCTGGGAAGGAACATAATTTTTTTTGAGAAAGAGAGAACACATGTGGGAGAGGGGCAGAGGGAGCGAGAGAGAGAGAGAGAGAGAGAGAGAGAGAGAGAGAGTCCCAAGCAGGCTCCATACCCAGCTAAGAGCCCCACATGGGGCTTTCTCAGGACTGTAAGATCATGATCTGAACTGAAATTAAGAGTGGGATGCTTAGGAGCACCTGGATGGCTCAGTCAATTAAACGTCCGACTTCCGCTCAGGTCATGATCTCACGGCTTGTGAATTTGAGCCCCGCGTAGGGCTCTGGGCTGAAGGCTCAGAGCCTGGAGCCTGCTTCAGTTACTGTGTCTCCCCCTCTCTCTGCCCCTCCCCTGCTCATATTCTGTCTCTCAATAATAAATAAACATTTAAAAAATAAAAATAAATAAAAAAGAGTGGGATGCCTAGTTGACTGGGCCATCCAGGTGCCCCCATAAGATAACTTTTGAGGGTGTTGGAAATTTACTGTAGTTTGATCTGAGTGGTGGTCATAAGAATGAGTATGTACAGGGTGCCTGAGTAGCTCAGAGGGTTGAGCGTCTGACTTTGGGTCAGGTCATGATCTCACAGTGGAGTTCAAGCCCCGCACTGGGCCTCCATACTGACACATAGAGCCTGCTTGGGATTCTCTCTCTCCCTCTCTCTGCCCCTCCCGCTTACATGAGCGCGCTCTCTCTCAAAATAAACAAACTTAAAAATATACATGTATTTTAAAATTAGGCTTCAGTTAAAAAATTAAGCTTACGTTTCCTATACTTTAGTAATTTTACTGTATAAACGTTATACCTTAATTTTATTTAGGAAAAATTTTAAGATCTCCACCCAACGTAGGGCTCGAATTCACCATGGGGTGGAGGTGTCAAGAGTCACATGCTCTACTAGCTGAACCAGCCAGGGGCCCCTGTTTTACTTTCATTTTAAAGTATAGGGGCACCGAGTTTGAGAAATATGAATCCTTACAGCAGAAATGAGGGCCGGTGTTTAATATCTTGACTTTCTGGGGGAATCTGGGAGCGACCAACCATATTGCCTCCAGTCCATCTTCTCCAGTGGGCAGTGTGTGCTTGCACCATTAATTTGCATCTTCTAAATTTCGTTTACTGGAAAATCCCTTGAAAAAACCAAAGGATGAGGGTAGGGTTTTGTTGTGGGAGTGCAGATCGAGGAACACATGAACCCTGGAGAGATTTAGAGTTCACAATACCTTCCTCCTCCCTTGCTCAGATACACTAGGTTAGCTCCAGCCCAAATTGTTCCTATTCATCTCTTTATGGCCCAGGGCGTCTAACAGAAGTTGCACAAAACAGACCGTATTCACGTCTCGTCTTTCTGTGAGCAGGAACCTTGTGATTCCAGAGAACTCTTAGGACCTACACGCAGCTGTATTCCCACAGTCCCTTGGAGCGCGGGTTCTCAAATCTGGCTGCACAAAGAAATCACCGGAGGAACTGAAACATTTACTGATGCCTGGATCCTATTCCCAGGAGTTCTGACTTAATTGGTATGAAGTGAGGCATGGGCATAGGGGCCTTTTAAAGCGTTCCAGGGGACCTTAACGTGCAGCACAAACAGAAAAACTTTTGGGGGGGCGTCTTCCTTCTCCGCGCCTGTTTTGTGGCTGTGGCGTCAGCCCCCCGGGGATGGGGGCAAGGTTCGCCGAGGCCGGCCCGGCAGCGCCTTTCCACGGCGTAGTTAAATTCAGACCCCTCCGCGATAATCCAAGGGACTTGACCGCCAGGCTGCAGGCGCTCTGCACTCCGCCCAGGCCTCTATGGTGTTTTGGCGTCCTCTCTAGCATTGGCAAGGCGTCTTCGCCTTCAGTCGCGGCCGGCGGCTTCCTCTCTATGGTAGCGGATTTCCCAACGCTACCTCGTTGGTATTTCATTCCGGAAGCGAGTCCGACCAAAGAGGCGGGACTTCCCTCCCGGAAGTGACCCACGTGCTTCCGCTTTAGCCTACCTTGTTGCACGGTGAGATTCTGGTGTTTGCTGCAAGTTGGGGACGCCGCGGGCGTTGAGAGTGGCCCCAGGCTGTGGTAAGTGACCTCTCGCCTCAAGGTGACCCTGATGATGACGCCGCCATTTCAGAGGTGCAGGTCCTGGACCGGGACCTGTGTGCCCTAGCTCCGCGGGCGATCGGAATCCCTGGGGCCTGGAGGTTCAGGCCCGCGGTTTAGTGTTTCTTTCCGGGGTCCCCATCTTCTCCTGGATAGAAGTGACCACGAGGGGCTGGGCGTCAGGGCTCCAGGGCTAGATTTCCAGTCCTTCCATTGATGCGCTGTGTGACCTTGGGCTGGGCAGTGTTCCCTTTCTAGGGCTCAGTTTCCACATCTGTGAGATGAGGTGGTTGAACTCACTGAGGACTGTGGCTCCCGCCCACCCGATGTCCTGTGATTACTCCGCGTCCTCTATCCCCCTGGGATGGGAAACTGAATGGGAGGGGTGGGTGCTGACGGTGATTTCTGCCCCCAGGACTAGGAGGCCAGAAGGAGATCTCTTCCACGGTGCAGGGCTGCGATGGATCCGCTCAGGGCCCAGCAGCTGGCTGCGGAGCTGGAGGTAGAGATGATGGCTGATATGTACAACAGGTAAGAGCCAACCGTGCGTTAGCTTGTCTTTGAGGATGATTCTAGGTTACCCTTTCTCAAGAGTACCTTAATGAGGGGAGGGTACCCACCCCCCACTTATGCTCCTCATAGTTGAGGGCTAATGCAGACGCAGAACGGGGTCACTAGAACGAGTGGGACATTTAGATTGGGATGCAGATGGTGAGGAAGGAGCTGAGCAGGAAGGGCATTTAAAGCTTTGATTAGGTTCCAGGAGCGGTTGAGCACTGTCTTTTTGACACGCAGTATATTGCCCACTTGGCAGTGAGCATTTCTTAAACTCTTTCTCCACCTCAGGTACCTGCTGAGCATTTTACACACTTTAATCTGTTTTAATCTTCAAAAACGATCCACTGTGTTAATTCTAAATGTCCCATTGTATGGCGAAGACCTTGAGGCTTCTGGAGGGTAAATAACTTTCTCAGGGTTCATAGTTGGTCAATAGCAATGTCAGGACTAGCAAGTACCTCCGTCTGACTCCAAACTAGTGCCCACAGCCATAGGGCAAATTTGGGAACAAACTAACTCCCACCCAGCACCACTATGGTGGCCTTGGGTGAATCACTTGGATTGTGTGACTGGTGGTTCTCCCATAAAGTGGAGATAATGATAGTACCTACCTTGCAGAGACATTGTCAGTGTTAAATGAAGAAATGTATGACAGGCTCTAAATATTGAGCCCGAACGGTAGAAAGCAATCCACATAGGTTTGCTGTTTTTATCGGCTTAAGCTCCCTAATGTTTTCTCTTGCTGGTTTATCTTGGAGCCCTATATTAGAATGCTTTCAAATATCGTAAATAATTTTAAAATGTAGGCTGCGAGGTCAGATTGCATGGGTTCATACCCAAGCTCTGTTGGATTCGGAGGCTCTCCATGCCTTAATTTCCTTATCTGTAAAATGGGGATAGGGATAGTGCCTACCTCATAGGGTTATTGTGAGGCCTGCATAACTGTCTGTGTCAAGCACTTAGCATGATGCCTGGAACATAGCCAGTGCTCAACTAAGGGTTCCTATATAATTCGTCGTAAACATGGGCTCAAATGAGGTGAGGGCTTTCAACATTCTGAGATGGTCGCTATGCAAACTGAGGATTTATGCTGCCTTCTTGGGAGGTGCGATCAGCATAGTGGGGAGGAATGGTGGAGAGTTGCTGGTGTGCCTCAGGATGCCGCCGACCTGATCTTGCCCTTGCTTCCCCCCAGAATGACCAGTGCCTGCCACCGGAAGTGCGTGCCTCCCCACTACAAGGAAGCAGAGCTGTCCAAGGGCGAGTCTGTGTGCCTGGACCGCTGTGTCTCCAAGTACCTGGACATCCACGAGCGGATGGGCAAAAAGTTGACAGAGTTGTCTATGCAGGATGAAGAGCTGATGAAGCGGGTGCAGCAGAGCTCTGGCCCCGTGTGAGGCCCCAGGCAGTATACACCCGGAAGTGCTCCCTGCCCCTTCCCACTTGTCTAATAAAAGTGCCCTGTTGGGTGTCATCTGTGAAGACTGCCAGGCCTAGGCTCCCTGTGGCGAGCCTCCAGTAGCCCAGGGTATGGTAGAGCTCTCTCCCAGGTAAAGAGGGGGCATTTGTCACACTGGGATGGGACTGTGTATGTCCGTGTATGTGTGTCTGTATGTATATATATATATATATATATATATATATATATATACGTATACATTAAAATGGGTTTGTTGACATTTACTCTATGTAGAGCAGCGTGGCCGGCACTCGGGGGTAGAGGCAGCAGACACAGCCTCTAGCAGCAGAGGGGGTCCAGCGTGGTGTTTAAAAGTACAGGTTGGTTCAATGTTTTAGTTTTCTACCACAGGTCAGCCGCTTGCTCTGTGACCCTGAACATGTCCCTCCACTGTGCTTAGCTTCCTCGTCTGTCAAATGGGGAGAATCATAGGGCTTTTGGGGAGATTAAATGATTTACTCTGTGTACAGCTTTCAGAATAATGACTAGGGCATAGGAAGCGCTCAGTAAATATTAACCATATCCATGTGTTTAAATAACAGCTTAAAATTTAAGTGGATCAGGCAGGCATTTTTCCAGTCGTAAAGGAATATTTCGAGGAGCGAGTGAACAGGAAATGGGGTTTGAGAAGGAAGTAGCCAACCCCTTGGTTCTTTTTTTTTTTTTCCAATGTTTATTTTTGAGAGAGAGACACAGAGCATGAGTGGGGGAGGGGCAGAGAGAGAGAGAGGAAGACACAGGATCTGAAGCAGGCTCCAGGCTCTGAGCTGTCAGCACAGAGCCAGACATGAGGCTCAAACCCACGAACTGTGAGATCATCAGCTGAGCTGAAGTCGGACACCTAACCGATTGAGCCACCCAGGTGCCCGCCAACCCCTGGGTTCTAAATGGCAGTATCGGAACATGTGAAGGGACCCGCTTTGGGTGTGATGTGAGTGATGCAGGGAGGGGCCTGGGTGAAGGCCACTGCCATTTGTGGCTCCCCTGGGTCAGAAGCCACACTCCTCACCCCTCACAGGCTATCTGACATGGCTCTTTCCGCCCTCTTTCTGTGCTGCCCTAACGGTGCCTGTGACTGTCCTGGCAGATGCCCTCAGGAGCATTAACAGTGTTGTGAGAGGCAGGCACAGGTTCTTAGTAGGTTCTGCTCCAGTGCCCTTGTGCAGTTATTTCCTCGTGACAAAGCATGGTTAAGGTTGGCAAAGTAGATGGGGCGCCTGGGTGGCTCATTTGGTTAAGCTCAGGTCATGATCTCATGGTTTGTGAGTTTGAGCCCCGCATTGGGCTCTGTGCTGACAGCTCAGAGCCTGGAGCCTGCTTCAGATTCTGTGTCTCCCCTTCTCTCTGCTCCTCCACTCATTCTCTTTCCTCTGAAAGGTGAATAAATATTTAAAAAAAGGTTGGCAAAGTTGGCAAAGTAGAAGTTGCTGAGGATCACAGAGCTGGGAAATTGCTATGACCCTCGGGGACAGGCTAACCACGTGTGGAGTGACTGGCCCCAAATCTGATGCACGGCCTAGAGACCTGCTCCTGTCCCACCTCTTTGGTTGCACTGACATCCTTAGCTGGCCTCGTGGACCATGAAGGAAGACAAAAGACACACAGAAGGGAAAGTCCTGGGATTCTTTTAGGGATAGAATGCGTACATGCAAATAAAATGCCTCCAAGGAAACAAAACAATCGGACCTAATACACTCACCAGGGCTCAGGGGTCCCATGGGGCTGCGGAGGCCCAGAGGTGGTTGCTTGCCGGAGGTCACAGAGGAGCGGTCACATTGAGGTCAGAGCCGACTGCTGCACTTTGCGGTCTCCCTTAGGAGACCAGTGCCTCGACATCCTGTCCTGAGTGCCCCAGAGAACCGTGCGGCTTTCAGAACGTGTGGGTCACTCCAGGTGGGATTTTGGTTGCGGCCAATGCCGCTGTGTGTAACCTCCCCAGGCTTCTGGGCAGAGAGTAAAGGAAGCAAAAGAGGCAGTGAGTTTGGGGCTTAAAAGTGCAGGCCGTCTGGGGTGAAGTTTTCTAGACGTGTGATCATGGGTGAGCCATTTACGTGCTGTGTGCCTGTTTGTTACTCCCTCCACAAAACCGTGATGGCGCCTGCCTCACTGAGTTAGGAAAATGAATCATGTTAAGAACTAAAACACTTAGGAAAGTGTCTGCCTCTGTCACATCAAGGACTCGATGTTAGCTTTTTTGTTTGTTGCTAAGCCTGGTGTGAGAAAACACAATAGACCCTGGGAAAACTTCAAAACCACGTCCATCCACCTTAGTGGCCCACCGGAGGTGAAGACTTTTTTCTAGGTGCTGAAGTGCAAGCTTTGGCCGACAGGTGGCGCTGTCTACCCGCAGGATCCACACGGCCGCGGACGGTATCACCTACGCCTCTTCTGTGCCCGGCGCTGTGCTTGGGAGAGGGGAGCCAGGAGCAAGGCAGATCTTGTGCTTGCCCTCAGGTTGAGCGAGGAACGTCAAAAATTCTGATAGCGCATAGCAGGGACATCACAAAGAGTGGTAGGAGCGAAGAGGTTCCAGCCAGAGGGAATGGTACTTAACAAAGACTTTGAAGTGGTAGAAGATGCGGAGTGTTCCAGAAGCAGCTTCAGTGGGCCTGGGGCGCTGAGTGTGAAGGGAGGTAGTAGGAAGAGATGAGACAGGGGTGCTGGGCAGGCACAGCTCCGTAAGAGCCTGAGAAGCTGCGTCAAGGAGTTTGGATTTTCTCCTACTAAGGGCATCAGCAGACTGTTGAAGGGTGTAAACCCTGGCAGTGAAAGTGGCAGATTGGCAGGCATTTCAGAGGCTCTCTCCTGGGTGGGAGGTGGAAGATGATGGTAGATCATGGATTAGAGGGAGAGGTGCCAGGGAGCCAGTAAAGATAGCTAGTGAGTGGCAGTGGTGTGTTAGTAAGTCTACTATTTCAGTTAATCCTTATAACAACCAGAAGCAGGTACAGTTCTCATTTCGTTGACTTTCTCTTTTTTTAATGTTTATTTTTGAGATAGAGAGCATGAGCAGGAGACACAGAATCGGAGAGAGGGAGACACAGAATCGGAAGCAGGCTCGAGTCTCTGAGCTGACAGCACAGAGCCCCACAGGGAGCTTGAACCCATGAGCTGTAAGCTCATGACCTGAGCTGAAGTCTGAGGCTCAACTGACTGAGCCACCCAGGTGTCCCCGGTTATTCTCATTTTCTAGATGAAGAAGCTGAAGTCCGAAAAGTTAGTAACTTGCCAAAGGTCGTAAAACAAGTGACAGAGTCAGGATCCCAGCTTCTTCAGCTAACAGAGCCCACTTTTAACCACCCCTCTGGGACTAGGGAGGAGGAATGCTCCCTAAAGAGATACAGGTCAGCAATTTCGTATTTCATTCAACAATATTGACCGTTGCCTGCTATGCGCAAAGAGCTGTAGGGCACCTGAGCGGCTCAGTCGGTTAAGTGTCTGACTTTGGCTCAGGTCATGATCTCACAGTCTGGGTTCAAGCCCTGCATCGGGCTCTGTGCTGACAGCTCAGAGCCTGGAGCCTGCTTTAGATTCTGTGTCTCCCTCTCTCTCTGACCCTCCCCTGATCACACTGTCTCTCTCTCTCTCAGAAACAAATAAAACATTAAAATTAAAAAAAAAAAGAGCTATAGAAAGTGTCCAGAGTGAATTTGCTTGGTCCTTGCCCTCGTGACCTGGTGGGAGAGGTAGGGAGGGGTCAGAAGGGTGGGGACAGAAGAGAGGTAACACATACAAAGGGTGGGAAGATGGGTTAGGCTCCTTCTGCCATAGAGAAGAGTCAGAAACTCCTGATTTTCATGTATTTTTGCTAGATTATCACAGTTTTAAAATCAGGAAATGTCTCATGAAAGTCTGGACTTGGCCTTCTTTTGAAAGTTTAGAAGCCCTCACAAGTCAGCCTACATACATTCCGGCTTGGTGGCAATCTGCTGGAGGGTGAGCAGCAAAGCTCCCACCACTAACTTCTTCCCTTCTCATCATCTGCTTGACCCATAGGCATCTGGTCTGTGCCTTCTCTGGGTTTTCAGATGAGCCAGATGCCAGATGAGAAAACACATAAATATCCTGGAATAGGCAGACTCTACGATGGCCTTGGCTGCTGCTATTCATTTCTGGGGCAATCTGCTCCCCTTGAGTGTGCACCAGACCTACGGACTTGCTTCTAACAAAGAGCACAGCAGAGGTGACAGGATGCCATTTCAGAGGTTACGGTACAAAAGATCGCAGTGGCCATCTTGTTCTCTCTCCTCTTGGTTACTGTGATGAAGCAAGCATCATCTTGTAGCTGTCCCTGTGAAGAGCCCATGTGGTAAGGAACAGAGGGCAGCCTCCAGCTGGAGAGGAACTGAATCCTGCCAACAACCACGCAACTGAGCTCAGAAGCAGGTGCTTCTCCAGTTGAGCTTTCAGATGACCACAGCCCTGGCTGATCCTTCACAGCTTTGTGAAAGTCTCTGAAGCAGAGGACCCCTCTAAGCTGCACCCTGACTCCTGACCTAGAGAAACCAAGATAATAAATGTTTTGAGCCATTAAATGTTGGGATAACTTGTTATGTAGCAATAGCTAACCAATACATGTACAGTTCTCACAACTATTACAATTTGTCTGAGACTATGTTCTTTCTATACCGATACCTAGCATGGACCAGGCACCATTCCAGGCATTTGGAATACATCAGTGAACAAAATAGATGAAGATCTTTGCCCTCTTAGAACCTGTATCCTAGGGGACAGTTTTGCATAGTAGAAGTCTGGGTTGGCAATGCTGTTTTGATGGAGAGGGTCTTTTTTTTTTTACAGGTTTTTAAAAAATGTTTTTTATTTATTCTTAAGAGAGACAGAGACCGAGCATGAGTTGAGGAAGGCCACAGAGGGAGGGAGACACAGAATCAGAAGCAGGCTCCAGGCTCTGAGCTGTCAGCACAGAGCCTGACACGGGGGTCAAACCCACGAACCGTGAGATCATGACCTGAGCCGAAGTTGACACTTAACTGACCGAGCCTCTCAGGCGCCCTGATGGAAGGAGT